GAAGTACACATCCTATTACTGGCGATTTTAACATCCACTCTCTGGAATCCCAGGGCGCTCCTGGAGAACAATTTAAGGTGAATCTACAAGAGGTCTCCAGTTTGTCCGACGGCATTAAGAGAAGCAAATAAGCGGTCTATACTGAATCGTATATTCACCAACGAAGAACTGATAATCGAGAGGGTAACCATCGACGTCCCCCTGTGCCGCGTCGACCATGTAGTCCTACAATTCGAATACATCTGTTATGCAGAATATCCCGTGGAAGCTGCCGACTCAACGCGGATGATTTTACGCTATGACATAGCTCGACTAGGTGCGACAATCAACTGGACCTCTTTGGTAGACGAGACACCGGTTAGCGCATGGGAACATTTTGTCAACTAGTCTAATACTCTGGTTGCCGAAGCATCAGCGATTAAGACTGTCGACACGGGAAACGTGGTCTCGTTTGTGCGATACAGGACACACAATTATCTAGCGATGCGAAACTTAGCCTGGCATATTTGCAAACTCTATCCGAGCACCTGGATGGCCTATGCAACCCAACGTAACCACTGTACTCAGCCTGTTCGCGAGGGCAAAATGGCGTACCAGCAAAAGTTGGCAATGCGTATCGCCTCAAATCACAAGCTTCTGTATCAACACCTAAACAGTTTACATGAGATTAAACGGGGAATTCTTCCTCTTTAAACAGCGGACGGACCCACGCCGACACCGAAGGAGGCGGCAATTACCCTGCGCCTGCAATATGCTGTAACATTGCTGTGCAATCGCTGGCCGCCTAACCTTACGATAAGGGTTGTCTCATCCCCAAACATCACACATATGCCTCACGGTAGAAGCTGTATTAAAAAGGCTGTTGAGTATACGCAACCACAACTCTCCTGGAGTTGAGCCTTTGGCTTGATTCTTCAGTTTTGACGAAATGTACCTGCCCGACATGTGGAGACTCGGAATTATCACACCTATTCACTAGGGAGGTAGTCGTTCCGATCCAGTTAACTGCCGTCCCGTAATCTTATTACCGGTACTTTCAGAGGTCATGGAAGCCATTATTTATCATGCGCTAGGTATCTATTTGGAAGAAGTTAACTACCTCTGGTCGAACAGCATAGCTTCGGACAAAGTCGATCGTGCACTACAAATCTACTGCTAACACGATCCAGCTGGACCGAAGCAGCAGACACTGGCATAGGAGTTGACTTAGTTCTTCTCGATTACTCAAAGACCTTCGAGCGGTTGAACCAGGACATTCTGTTCTCCAAACTCTTTGGTATTGGTGATCCTCTCCTAAGGTGGATCAGAAGCTTTCTTCTACACCGGCGCTTGAAAATATGAGTGCGTGAATCTTGGCCAGTTCCCATACAACTTTAATGTGAAGTGCGATAGGGATCGGTCCTAGGATCACGTTTATTTTTGACGTATATCCACGATTTTACACGCCTCATTAGCTCGTACTACTCGCTCTATGCCGATAAAATCAAGGTGTGGATGGCGATCAACACACCATATGGCATCACAGTACTTCACATCGACCTGGATAGGGTATACGCGTGGTCAGTCCAGAATCTACTTCGATTCTCTGTGGGCAAATTTAGAGTGTTGCACTTACGGCACAGTTGGTGTACTCCTACATACTCGGCAACCAGGAGCTGCAAACGTCTTCTGGCGAGAAGGATTTGGGCCTTTCTTCCAGGCCGACCTTGGATCTTCGAACCAGGCTGAAACGGCGTCTAGAAAGAGTATCCAGCATGTGGGCCACGTGAAGTATACTTTTGGATGATTCGAACTTTCTTTTTCCCTAGCTTTTTGGATCACACATATCTCCAACTACGAAGTACGCAATACAAGTCTGGCAGCCATTGTTGAGGAGAGATCTCACCGCCTTTGAGATACCCCAACGCCGGGCACAAGAATGTCAAAGGTTTGAATAATTTGCCATTAACAAAGGCTTCATCTTATGTGGTCTTCAGCGGACAATATCGGCGATTGCGCGGGGACCTCACTTTGACTTAACAGATTTTGAGAGGTCCCAACCACGTGCCGCCATTTGCTTGAGCTCAGTCACAGCAGTAATTTAAGAGGCCAGCATCTCAAGCTAGCATAGCAGTACGGTCGTTCGGAATGCCATGGGTATTTCTCTTCCCTACGGGTTTGCAGAGCGTAGGATGTTCGACCGGAATCTGTCATCTGTGCTCCGACACTGGTAGAGTTCAAGACCCGAGTTGACCGTGCATTCATTTCGCTGCACTATCTTACACAATTCTTTGAGCATGCCTAGACATGAGTGTCTGTTGGGGATTTCACTACCGTTCATCTCATGGAATACATTCAACCTTTCTCACTTCCTGTGTGTGTTCACCAGGAGGCGGCACGCTGTTCACTAACGTCACTTTTGTCATTGTTCCGTATGGACTGACATTTTATACTACGTATACCGCAGTGAGTCCACCGGTGTGAGTCTAAGTTCGCTGACACTTTCCAGATTTTGAATTTTCACCATGATCACCCTCGGAACCTGTTAAGCTTTAACTTTTTCACCCATATAGAACCATTACTCCATTGTTCCACTTCATTAGCCTCTGAAAGAACTGAGTCCATCATGATCACCAAGTTGAAAAGAAATATTGGATAACCCTGGCGAACCCCACTTGCAGTGGGGAACTCTAGAGCCATTTTCTGTAGACCTTTACAAGGCCTCGGGAGTCACGGTAAAGAGATTACAAAATGGAAAGGAATATAGCTGACGCGCCCTTCATGGATAAGCAGTGCAATAAGCTTACGCAGTCAACAGACTCGAAGACGACTTTCAAGTCAAGAATAACCAACATAGTCTTTTGCAGTATTTCATGCTCCTTATTGACTTCAGTTTATGGACTGAATGGACCGGCCTTCACTTCAAAGTGGATTGCAGTCCTGATTGAGATTGCATGTTGCAACAAGTACACAGCGTGGGTTTAAAAATAAACTCTGCAACGACTCATTAACCGTTGTGACAAGTACTGCTCGATGACTTAAGGATAGTGGTTTCGGCTGATACCCCGAAGATCTGGAGTTCGTGTTCCAATCTTGTTATCTCCGCCTGACTACGAAACCAACCAGAGAGTGTGCTGAGTCACTTCGAAATATGGGTGTAACGACGGCCATCACTGAAGTGATACGCATTAAATGGAATTAGCTCGTTCGAATCGTCGTCACCCATTACATTTCAGTACACGGAGGAGTGCTGGATTTTCACCGATAGCATCGCCGTTTATAGCTTGTTGGACGACTGACCCAATTTTTTCGTTTGGTGCACATTGTTTCGCTTTTGTCATGAAAACATCTTTCGGCAAAATGCAAAGATCGGTCCCGGACATGTTCCATTGTATCGAATATCCCCGGCAGCCTATAGTATTTTCCTCAAAGGAAAACGTCATGCGGTTTTGTGTCAACACACAGTTGACTCATTGGTAGAAATTGCTACCTGACTTACCCAGTCGGCCGGGTCACTGATTTTGCTTATACTTCCCATTGAACACAGACGTTTTGTCTCTTTCATAGTCTTATGTGCATGAATATGAGCACCTTTCCAACTGATGAATCAGAAGTCAGTTTGGGTTCGTTTAGCAATAAATGTGCGCTTATATGAAAACATTCCACAATTTTACCAAACTCGTCCGAGTAGAGGCCGATGTCATGACTAGTTGGCTCAAGTGCACAGCCTAGTTACAGTTACTAGTAACAAATCAAGCCGTTAATTTGAATCAGCGTCGCGTATTGGCATACGCTATACTTCCTCCACCATACTGGTGTTTTGTTCCGTCTCTTGGATCGGTTATACACCGTATGGCGTCACTCGTCAGCCGCTGCACATATTGAGACAATGTTGCACCGTGTTTCACTGTACCTCAATATGGTGTTTTCAGATGTATTATTGGTCTTGACTTCTGATTCCGGCTGCATACGTACCGGTTGCCTCGCAATAATCAGCTGATCGTAAGAACCACATCTTGCTTCATTGATACATCTATCCCAACGGTTAATTGTTCACTGGATAGGTCATTTTGAAGAATGTACTGTGAATCAGTTGCGACACGCGATCTCAATCGTGCTTCTTGCTATTGACGGGAAGATTTTGGGCAACCGATAGATTGTTGTGGTCGACTGACTTGCTCCCATTCGATCAGTAGCCTTGGAAGGGATAATTTCTCTTCGTGCACTTCATGTAGGTCTGTAGGCAGGCTTTTTCTGGGACGTCTGTGGCTGCAGTAAAGATAAATCTTTTCAAGTGCAGCGACATGTTGTGATCCAGAGTACTCAGTTTGGAAGTCACGCACAGTTTAGTTATTCCGTTTCACCTTTTTGAAGAATTTAGATCGATAGACAAGCTTAATTGTGGCATTGTTTTGATTACGACTTTGTTCCTGTACTTTCCTTACTGCTTGAACGAAAGAATAGATAACAACGTCGTTAAATTTATCCTATCTTCACAAAGCTAAGGATTTTCGGACCACTACTGGCAGGTGAAATCTTTACGTTCTTCACTGACTTTGCTTATCCCCAGTTGCGTTTCATATCACCACTACTGTTGTACTGCAGCGTCACCAATTTTTTTAATATGATGAAATTTTACTGCTTCGCTTTTCGCAGTCGTTACTCTCCTACATATCGATCAGCAAAACTACATCGTAATTGGTTCATTTGTCAAAAGAAAACCTGTCGTTCATTTGTTATTTCCCAATTTTCGAGTACTATCCCACGTTTTCTGCACATTCCAGTGTTCATACTAACTTAGATGCCCATGCGATTTCCTTTCCGAGTAGGACAAAGTGCTGTGGCACAACAACTCTTTTGATTATACTTACCATCTGCTATAACAGTTGGTATATCTGGGTTTGTCTGGCTTCTCATGTGGAATGTTGCGCTTGTACTCCAGGTGTTCTGTTTTGCTAACCAACACTTTATCTTCAACTATCCATGATGTGCTTCCCTTTGTTCTCTTTTTGCATCAATAGTTACCGTCCAAAGTATCCCCAGACCTTGGTAATCGCTTGCTTCCGCCGGAGCCGGAGATATGCGAATCACTTTCCGTTCTGCGCGCTCATAACCCAGAGACACTCGACGGATATCGGAGGTCAGGTAAGGCTGACGCTCAATTTCGGCTTCATATCCATAGCTCTCACGGCCGTCCGTGATGGTAAAGTAGCTGTGTTACTTCTTGCTGGTGGACAGGGTACTCGTTTGGGATTCCACTTCCCTAAAGGCTTGTATTCCCCCGGTCTTCCTTCCGGACGTTCCTTGTACCAGATCCAAGCTGAACAGCTTCTCAGAGTCGCACAATTGGCACAACAAGAGTTTGGCTCCAAAGCAACCATCCCATGGTTAGTCGATGTTTATCCAATTGGAGATTTTCCTATTAATGATGTTTTTTAACATCTATTCAACCTTTTCTATACAATACCGCCTATGCTAGAGTCGATTTACCGACAGCCAATCGAAAGAGAGATGGTCACAAAGTTCCGCATCTCATAGCGTTACCAGAGTGTGGAAAAAGACGCGTTTTTAATCTGCTAGATGGAATCGGAAAGTTAACAGTGCGCAAAAGTTGCACAATGAACCTCCAAATATTATTTCAAGTCGAAGATCGTTGAGACTTGTTTTTGCTAGGTCCTGCCAGATCTTTAACCCTTTGCTCCCTACGTCTTGCCGCGGACTCATGTTCTGGACGCCTGCACGTCGCGACCGTTGAGTGGAAGTTCGGTTACACCCTTATTTTAGTTCAGAGCTAACACACAATTCCACTCGAGTCGGTTAACTGATTTATGGTGCACGGCCCGTTGCCTTCCGGGTGTACTTTTTCTCGAAAGATTTGGTTAAAGACCCGAGTCATTCCCCTGTTTAAGTGTGGATGACCTGGCAGTCCTCCAGTCCAAAAACTAACCATGAATTACGCCAATACAATACGCCACTACGTCCGTCGCGCAGTGACGCTAGGAAAAAGGTCGCCTTGCGTGCTGCATATAGCAAGTTATGTAAGCGAAAACAATCAACAGCTTACGCCTCGCTACTCTCTTTTTGCCTACACTCTCTCGCCGTCCGCATTTCGCCCAAGCACCTACTTCCTCCAATCAAGGTAACTAAGCGCGCGATTGAATGCAGCTTTATACCTCCACGAAAAGCGCTCAACATCGGGTGCTGGAACTTGCGCATACTACTCGAGTTCCGGTACTCGAGTGAGCGTCCATAGCGATGCACGTCACTAGTCACAACGGGAACTCGCGCGCTACGGCACTGCCACTGCCGCAATCAGTAAGACACGGCTCACTGACAAAGCCAACCTGCTTGACGCTGACGCGGTTTACACCATCTACTGGATGAGAAACACCAACACAGCACTATCCGACCGACTAAATGGCCACCCGACTAGCATTAACTCACGACTGAAAAATCTTTGTCTGCGACCAGGAAGAGATAAATGTGCCACTTTTAGTAGTACTAAAAAATGCACCAGCAGTACGTCGATACGCAGTACCGACGCTCCGCTGCCGCGCAACCACTGTCGGTCGCAAGTGGGCTAAGGATACTGCTAGCATCGCCCTGCCCGTACGCAGGTTCGAACTCGCGCCGTCAGATTACAAGGTTGCTACCTTTAGGCTACGAGCCGGCTTTAATAACACTATGGTCCCACCGTTTGTGTCATCCTGATGACACACAAGATCGGTATTACACTCATTTATCCTCCGTGATACGGTATATGCCAAGGAGCGACCGGCTATTCCTACAGGGTTGGAGCAAACAGCCCGTGCTTCCAAAACCTTTTCTCCGACATTGCATGCGTTGGCTCGGTCACGTATTACGCATGTCAACCTATCGCCTTCCCAGTCGAGCGTTATTTGCGCTTTCCGGAAGCGATTGGATAAAGTGTCGCGGTGAGCAATCAATGACGTGGTGAATGGGCATGAACAAGGCAACCGCAAGCTTAGTATCCATTGGTCCTGTCTGCCATCCAGGATGGGGACCACACGACTCGGACTGCCAGTGGTTGGAAACGCTGGATGTTATGGCACGCAACATACACCAGTGGCGGCAGTGTTGTTAAACCACATTATTTGTAAATGTTCAATGGAACGTAAAAATATTGAAAAACATAAAAAGCACAAAGTGGCATGTGTACAACCCTAAACATTCCTTTTTCTTCCACTGTTGTATTTCGTTTCCCTTTTTTTGCCATGGCACGAATGGCATCTTATCTATACTTAAATTGTGAACATATATGTATATATATGACTTCTTTATTTATCTGCATGATTTACCTCAGATGCCTCAACAGAACTATACAGTCCAATGCCACTGCGGCGCAAGGATTCCGTTTCAGAAACTTGTTCACCTCAGCCGACTCGAAGAATCCGACAAAGATACCGTTGATGCAATCACTACAAATATTGCATGTCCTTCCGATAAAATGCCTACATGCAGCATACTAGAACTGATAGCACCTTCGACTGGTATACACTCAGCTTCCTCAACAGTAGGCTGGCGTTTCCTCCACACAAGGTATATCAGTTTGCCAAATGCAGCAGCCGGCTTCGACACGTGGATGCGCGATACGTTCATCAAATGTAGGACGGTTGATTGTACGCTCCTAAGGTGGAAAACATTCGATGCTGTCTCCAACACTTCATGAGTAATCTGGATTTAGAGCAGGCTCACTGACTCCATTCCCGATGAAGGCTGAAAAAGACAAGTGGTCTTGCCTGTATTGCTGGTGAGCCCATGTTTTTTAGCTGTCGAAGCGAAAGCCATTGTCATGCGCTGCAACTCATTCGCGCTGTGTGAAAACAACGCGCAGTCGTCAGCAAACAGCAACATATAATGGTTGTCTCACCCACTCGGGTTCTTGCCACGAAGCAACGGATGCTCAGCCATCCAACATCAGTACGGAGCTCCACACGGATACTATAATCAAGAGCAGAATCACATACACAAGACAATATTGTATTTAGTTAAATGTTAAACAGGGCAGGGGCTAAGGCACAACCTTGCTTCACACCAGAGACAATGCCAGCCGATTATGCTATGGAGAATGCTTTGATGGAGCATCGAACATTCGTAGTTTTTAATGGACAACGATTGCACCGAACTCTTACTTTGGCTCATGTGCTCATGGATTACCACATGGCGAACTCACGCCGAACTTGACACAACAGTTATGACTGATTTTTCCGCGCCCCAGCGCCATCATGTTCCTTGGTCGGACTATTACCTGACAAAATGCTCACTCGTATGAACTACGAACATTTCGGTTATACGTTTCATTAAAACAAAATGTTTTACTATTCCAAAGCAGTTATGCTTGCATTCATGTTTGATTGCGTCTTCACCAGTACACCTCCTTTCACCGAGAATCTACCATTTAATTAATTAATTAATTATATTGTCATCCGAAGTTTGCCAACAGGACTACACTATCGCCTGCATACCATTGTGCGGACATTAACTTAAACCTACAAACGCAATTGGACAACCAAACTTACCCAACATCAACCACAGTGCATCGCGGTTCACCGTGTCAAATGCCTACGTGATTCCAACAAACAGCGAGTGCAATGGCTGGTGTCGCTCTCGGCGTTTCTCCTACAAATGACGAGCCGCAAACCGCATATATATGGGGCTGCCGCCCGAACGGAATCCGCATTGAACTTCCAACACGTTCAGTCCAACGACCACAGTAACGAGGCTGCCGAGCATCAGTCGGGCGATCACTTTCCCCACACACTTTAACAATTTGATACCACCATACTTCGTGGCACATGGCTAGCCCCTATGTACTTGTACAGTGGTACACAGGTTTACGAATTGGTCCGCGCCAACTTGGGATCAGTGCCGCATTCTGGTGCGTATCATGCGCACTTCACGCATGTCCTGCTGGCGTACGATGAGATAGTTGAGTATGTGAGCTCGACCATTCCGTGTGTGCTCGTTATCGTAACGCCGTGAGTGACACAATGTGGGAACGGCTTATCACGGTTCCCGTTGGTTGAGCCAGTACCTTGCGGACCGATCAAACCTGTCCACACCGTGTCATCGCGCTGAACACGCGCATTGAACTCACCCGGGAAGAATAGCCGATCGCTGCTTGGCACATACCGTATCACGGAGGATAGTGGAGTGTAAATCTGATCTTTTATGTCATCAAGATCACACACTTTGGTACCTTACGGGCTACTAAGTGATAAATTTACCTCTTAAAAGTCGCAGACGAACAGTCATCAATCTGGTTAATACCGGTCGCGTGGCGTTGCGGATACTGCACATCCGACTCCATGTGCGCGTTGCACATTGGTGCTTTTTCCTACCCAGTGGAACGTGTACTCCACAACAGCTTCGTGCAACTTGGGTTTGTCATTGAGCCGTGTTTTATAGTTTGTGGCGGTGTCAATGCCGTAGCGCGTAAGTTCCATCTTGACTGGCGCCTTGCGTCGCTCTTGGCGCTCACTCAAGCCTCGGTCGAGGATTATTCGCGCTTTCCAGCACGCGATGTTGAACGCTTTTCGCTGATGCATACGACTGTGTCGGGCAATCGATCATAAGGTGATCTGGATTGGTGGAAGTGGAAGGTTAGTCGAAATGGTTACTAGGGTCGACGAAAACGGGAAGATTCAGTGGTAGCATATCTTCGCTTATTCACCCTGCTGTATACAGCACCTAAGGCGACGTTTTTCCTTGTGCCACTGTAGGCCTGTCGTTGGGGCATTGTATTATTCGTATTTTTATTATTATTATTAAGGCGATTCATTGTTATTTATTGCATACTGCTATTTCGTCCACGCTTGAACAAGAGAACGACTTCTGTCCCTAGCCATAGCTTTGGATAAAATGTGTATTCGTATGGCGGGTCGCCTTGCTCACGCGCACCGTGTGGTTGGTGCGTATGTTGCAGAAGCGCATACACTTTTGTCCGTTTATCTCAAAATCAGCAGCGCCGTGAAGTGTCACTTTTCTCGGGTATCATATTTCTCCTGCATGCGGCGTGCCACTACAACATAAAGTTGAGGCCGTCATTGTCTATTCCGATCCTCCTTCCTTCAACCATATATAACGTTCCTACGGGCTTGTTAACTTTAGTCGCTGTTTCATTCTTGATACTGTGTCGCTTATACACCGACCTTCACCCAGTGAAGCAAATGCTGCGTTTAAAGCTTTAAAAGAGGCTAACGCCAAAATAGTTTTTATGACACGTCATCACTCGACAGCCCCGATGTCGCTCAGTACCGACTCTTTCGACCTGACAGTTGTCACTGTCTTGCAACAACAGGTATACGACACTTGGTAACCTCTAGCGTTTTCTCTAAACGCATGCAACCTGCCGAATTTCGTTACA